AAACCATTGTAATCACGACGTCGTCATTTATGGCATAAAATGGACGGAGTCGTCTAGGTCGGTATTTTATGAGCCAGCCGTCTTCAATTCGTATGCCGATCCGGTGAATGTTTGGCTATTAGTACAATAGAAATTCATGACGACGGTAAAGGAAGAAAGCAAGAAAGAAAAGAACAACGATAGGCAAAAAAACGCTTGGAACCTGGTCGTTTATTCAATTTTCCACTTTACACATTTGATTGTATATCGCTAGCAAATAATGCTCTATTCTCGTGCTTCATGGAAGTATATATCCAGCTATTCCGACGTTACGCCGTAATTTTTCTCCGAATGTAGAAAGGAGAGTATTTTATTCAAATTGTCTCGTCGATGGAAAAGAATAAATGTGGAACTTCGTTTGAATTTGTGATTGTAAGCAAACGGAAAAATGACAAAGCTTTAAAAATCCGACACATACAACGGAGCAACGGGTAGAGCAACATCCACGGTGTGTTGTGCATTGAAAAGGGAAGCAACAAACATACACATACGCAAATCAAGGAAAAGAGAAGAAAAAATCAAGATTTTTATCGGATGTTAAAATAAACGATGGCCAATTTTGTAATTTATGTTATCTGCATGAATCTTTTATGGAAGGATTCTGTGCAGTTTGTAAATTTTCATATTTACGCTTGGCATTTTTCATTTGTCATCTGCACCACTTTCCGTATGTTTTGCAGTCGCTATCTTCGTCTTTAACTTTTTACAAATCGAAAATGCTCGTTCGCTTCATCTCAATGTGGACTTGGTTTGTTTGTTTTCATCGTATTGTTGACATCACCCGCATTTGGAATACAAAAAACAACAACTACTAATACGTACAATGGGCACACATTGAAATAGCTAGCAGTGGCAGATGGAAATCAATGAAAATTTATCGTTTATCGATTGTTTTGTGTAAACTACATGAAGTTTATTGTTTACTTCTCTGAACCGTTCCGTAATCTTTTCTACTTTACATCATAAAGAAAGAGACAAACCCAAATGCTATCGGCCATTGTACACATTACATTTGTCGGCGAGCAATCGTTTTGCTTCATCAGGGAAAATTGAAAACGGATCAGTACAAAAATACCGGCTAAAAGCACAAACAAAATTATAAATGAACCTCATGACAAATGGAGAAATGGGGCACGCTTCGTTGTTGTAGGGACATGTGTCGAGACAAATTTATATTTACATACTTTTGACTCTCTGTTTATGTGTGTGTGTCGTCGAAACGACATGGAATATCTACGAAAAATGTCGTTCAAACAATTCAAACAAACCCTTTTTCTGTAGCTCTACGAATGAGATGTGTGCTGAAAAATCAGCGCGAACGGATGAAGAAAAAAAATGTTGAGACCGTGTCTTTGAATTTAACTATGCGAATACATTAATCAAATTGTGATTCGACCAAATTGAAGTAAACAAAGCGCGTGATTCAATTAAATTTCGACAGACGCCAAAAATTTATTGCCATCGATATCAAACGAGACCTGAAAGGTATATTTCAACTGAAGTGTACATGAAAGAAAAATGACAACTTGTAAAAAAAGGTCTGTGTTAATAACTCAAGCGGTGTTTTTTCTTCCCATCATCGTTGTCGTTGTTGTGTTCGCTTTTACAATTTTTCATGCGCAAATATTTATTCATTGAAGGTTCATGACTCTTAGTTGAGCACCGTGGGTAGTTGTTACATGATTTTTTTTTAATTTGTATTCGAATTTCGAAATTCACCAGGGTGACTGTGTAGAGGTACAAAATCAAATGAAGCGTAATTGGAGACAATTAGAGGTAATTGCTGAATTGAAAATGCAAATGCGGGAACAACCACACACACACAATGGCTCCCCTGAATTTGAATTGCAATAAAAGAATTTGCATATTATTTGCTTCGATACATTTTTTGGGTGTATCGCCCACGATTAGAGGGGGAAAAAGCTTTCGGTGAATTAACGATAAACTCATAAAATAGGGAAATCGCGTTTATGTTATGAACGAAAAAGGTTTCGCACGTACGACAAAACATTTATTCGGTTTGTGTAGAAATGTAAAATTGGAATGTTTCGTTTTTCTTCACCTTTTGGTTGATTGGTTTTCTTCGCATCGCCAACAACCGTCCAATACTCTTCTTTTTTTCATTTAATCGTACCAAGAAGCAATAATTAACAAATGTTTCCAATAAGGTGCAAGGTGCTCAATGAGCACTGCTCAAAGCATAATTTGATATAAATTCTTTTACGAGACGCAATCGATTTATTTTAATTATCAGGGTGTGTTTAAATGCCCGAACAAAACCTTTATTGTTTGTGATCCCGATTCCAATTTATCATATTTTCTATTACATGGATAAATTTCAATTGCAATGCACTTTCTGCTCAAAAATAAATTTTCTATTTTTGAACAGTTCATGCAAGTTCATCTAGTGAAAATGTATATATTTGCCATTATAAGATATTTTCTTTAATTTTTCAATGTCGCTAAGATACGATTTCGTTTTAATTACAAATAGATCAATTCACTCATTTGATGGATGGCAATATAATGCCAATGACCGATATCGATTCAGCTAAATGATTAATAGTCAAATCAAATTTTATGAATTCAATATAATCTTAAATAATGCAATAGTCATCAATTCGGCATTTTGGTGCTGTCGATTCTTGGAAAAGTTATTCAAATTTTTGAAGAAAAATACTTTTGTTATTTGCCATCTTTTCACGTCTTCATGGAATGTGAAACGTGATAGTAATAAAATACGTAAATTTTTACCGTCTCTTCCACGCTGTCTCTCTTTGCATGTGTGTGTTTTCTTTATGATGATGCTTATAAAGATGAAGGTCACTGATGAATGGCGGAAGAGAAAAAACTTTTTTTTCTTTTCTGGTTTTTATATTTCTTTCGACTTTGCCGCACACATATACACATGAAGCTGAGATTTACCCAAATAACACTGCGAAGGACGTTACACTTCGTATGAATATCGAAGAGAGGATAAAAACGTGAGCAACTTTTCTGAATAGAACGAATGGCATCCGAAAAGTTTTCGGTGTCTAAGTATGAGAAGCAGAAGAAAACACTTATTTTTACATGTTGGCAGCCCAATATTACAATGAAAAATGCGATTTTTAAGGTTTGACACAACCACGCACAAAGTTTCTTTTTGAGTAGGGATTCCTTTTTTTATTTTTTCTTGCTGAATATTTTTTTTCTTCTTCTTCGAGATTTGTGCTGACAGAGATAACGACAAACTAGGTCTTGTGTGATAGTCTGTGAATTGGCCACTTTGCAATAGCTTTTTTTTTGGGTAGAACATTTTCATAGCAAGTTGCCACGCGATATAATCTTATTCAGACGTATGATTATGCTGGACGAATAGACGCTGTTGGATGTAACTCGCAATATTATTAGTATATTGATTGTAAACATGGTGCAGTGTTGCTGTATACAATACAGTGAATCTAATATTTTTGGTAGACAAAATTTTGCATGACACACTCCACTCACACGCCATTCGTTTACTGCTTACTTTGCTTGTTATTTTGTCTATCGAAAAAATTAGATTCACTGTAAATGATCATTTCGAATGCTTGCATAGCAGCAGCTATTTATCCAGCATACGTCTGCTCTTATCCAATCGAGTCGAACGAAACGGATCAATCGAGATTTTCACATGATTTTTTTCACCAAATCTTTCATTCAATAAACACTGATTTTCAAAGTTCGCCACATCTTATTCAATAAATTTTGAAATTCCAAACCAGAATAATACCTTTCAAAAAATTCTATAAAACTTCACCATTCTGGAATGGGAATGATTCTAAACAAGTTTTCGAATTCATGTGCTGAATTCGAACTAGTATGATAATATGTATTTTGGTTTCATGTTAAATTGAATTAAATTCAAAGCCCCATAGAAATTGGAACATTGTGTTTATATTAATTTGAGCTGGAAAATGAGATAAACAAAAATTGACAATGAAAAAGCGTTGCAATTATTGTTGCATTTTTGAATTGAATGAAGTGCCTGCTGAGTGTAGAGGCTGGCTAATTATATCTGGATTATAACGCGAACGTTTTAATCAATCTGGCGTGCAAATATTCCATTCGGGCGATAGATCAAACATTTGACGAACAAAATTGCTATTACCATTTTTCAATAATCGAAGCAAATAAGCGGTACTTTCATCAAAATGAAATTTGAACATAGATATTTACGCTTTATTTCGTTCGAAACTTCATTAACGTTTGCGATCATCGTGTATGGGTGAAACCATAACAAAAATGAACTAATGGCAAATCATCAATTTCAGTATAAATTTAAACCCGTTCACATTTTACACACGGAACGTTATTGAAGGGAAAAACGGGATGATATCGAACAACGACAGTTCAGTGCAAAAACGAAACCAATTGGGCAAAATGTGTATATCGTAATACACATCGAAATGGCTCAAACTGAAATCGAATTTCGACAAGTTGTGTTTGATGTACGAGATGATCCGACCAATAAATATTTATGATAATCTTTTCGTTTATAATGCAGAGTGATTATGTGGCCAAAGCATTCACAATGTGAGCGGATAGTATCGTAATTACAATGGTAACAATAATAGCTAAATTCAAACATGGTACAACGGAACCGCATTTGCGTGATGATTTTGCCGGCCCACATTTATATTGCATGTGTGTGTGTTGAACACAAAATGCACCCCGGTTAATATTCATGTTATCTGTTCGAAAGCATTTCATTGATGTATTTGGTTTCGCTTTGAATTTGATTTAAAATCACAGCCGATGAATATATATATAGATATGTATTTTATCAGACGCTCTTGGCAGCAGGATAGACAGATGGGTGGATGGTTTGGTCAATTGACGATGATGCCAATGTTTGTGCGCCACACAATCAACATCATTCGAAAGCGAAAATTCAACTGGCACAGGCACCAGATACAACATTAATTAATATTACTTACTGATAATCCTCCGTTTCGTAGGTGTGCGGCGGACAGGCTGAATAGCATTTATGCTCGTGCATGACTAAGTGGTGCTCACAGCTCACACAATAGTCCGGACGATCCTGACATGAAGCACAATTTGCTTCGCACGGTACACATGTTTTATTCTCATAATCTGCAAACATAAAAAGAAAAAATGAAAATTTAAATCACGAATATACGAACAATAAATAATGGCGAGTTTTATAACAACAAACAAATGAAATTGATTTTATTCATTAAAACACAGTAGATGTGTGTTACAGCTTTGTACTTTAATAAGCTCAATTTTGTTGGATTGTGAAGAAATAACAAAAAGTTTGATTGGAATTTAACTCTTTCAAGTGATGCCTCAACTCAATAGTTTTACCTTATTTATTAGTTATCATCATTTAATTATTAAAAAAATCAATCTTGCTTTAATCTTTTAAATAAAGTTTCTACGAAATTTAGTCAGAAGAACAAATTTTCTTGGGCATACAGTTCCTTAATCAACGATAACGCTGATTTCGCTGAAATTCAGTTTATTTTTCTCAAATTAAAAATATAATTGTTTTTCTTTAATATCATCATTTTTTCATGACGCAAATCATGCAGAATACTTTTCTTATTAAAAAAAAGTTGTAAAAAGTTCGTTATTATTACGTTAGCATTTTTGCTAATTCGTATACTGTGTATTTAAAGGGTAAAAAGCAATCTTGCGCGAAAAAAATAATGTTTTTTTTTCGTTACAAAAGAAAAAGAAGGTAAATAAATATTCTATCAAAAGAACGGAAAATTGTTTGCATTGTCAATATTCGAGAAGTTCATATTTTCAGCATTTTTGTTCACTATAAACTTTTAAATAAACTTATGCACCCAATGTCTTGACTTCAACTGATTTTTAATTTATACGAAAAGAAAACAGTTTTTCAACAAAAAAAAACAACAACAACCAAAGTGCATAAGTTGTGAAAACTCCATTCTTTTTAAATGCACACCAATTTACACCGCCAAACAACGTTGCGTATGAGCAAAAAACGCCGTATGTATGCATTTTTCCATACAATGGAATAAATTAACTTTATAGAAATTGAAAAACTTAGAATAAACAGTGAAATGAAGAATGAAATGAAGTTTGCACTGTCAAAATTGTTGAAAAGAAATCAAAGGCAAAGAGTATTGAAAGCGTTTAAACCGGGTTAAAGTTTTACATTTTCAACAATAGTGTGCATGGCAGCGATACTCATGATGAGTCAAGCTTGTGTAAATGAACGGAATAATTACTGACGTTACAACTTTATTAACGAAAAAAAAACTTTCCCCGTACGACTGCAGAGAATCGATTGGACAAAAAAACACAAACGTTAATGTTCACGAATTTACCGGATGGTTGAAAAAATTATGTAGTTTATTTACTTCATTGCGTACATTGAAGTGCACGATTTTTTCATTTTGCATTTGTGTTTCAGTGTTGCATTCACTTTGAGAACAAGTGAATCGTTGTAATAAAAAAAATACTTTTATTTCGTTGCAAATAATAGCGCAGAAGCTTTTATTGATACCACAAGTGGCAATGTAAAATGGATGTTTTATTGATTTGAGAGCACAAAAGCAATTATCAATATCTAATGCAGTCAGGACTAAAGATAAAAGAAGAAGTATTTTTCATCGAAACAATTCCAATATCACTTGAAAACTTTTGTAAAGCGCAACGAATATTTATGTTAATTGCATTGATGTTCTATTGAACAAAATGGACACATTCAAAAGGTATATTGAATCATGCATGAATAGAGAGTTCCTCTTTACTTTGAATTAATTAGTTTTTCTCCAGTTATATACAAATTAGCAGTGCTAATTAAATTGTGAAATCATGCCAATTAAAAACGCAGTAAATTCTCAAAAGATAAGCTTGAAACGAAGCATTTCATCACTTTCATAGATATAACAGTTTACACCATATTACTGAGAATTATTTTTCCTTTTATCAAAAGACCCAATATAACTCTAAATAAACTTAGTGTTCATTACGGAAGAATGTCTTTGCGAATCATTTTTTATAAAGAAATGTCGGCAAAATGCTGCCAATTCAATTTATTGGATGCAATAGTTTGTTCGACAAATCGAATTCACTTCATTCAATATAGTATAACTTGTTAAATGTCTTTTCATGACTTCAATCTCATTACAGAAATATTTGCCATTAAATCCTCTTTCTGAGCATATTTTATATCGCAAATTGATACAATGTAACAAGGTATGTACATCGAAAGTAAAAGGAATAAATAGAATGATGGATAAGTCAAAGGACATACGTTAATCATTTAACAAAATCGACTTCTTTTTCTTTTTTTGATTTATGAATGAATATCCAGAATAATGTTGAGTTTTTATCATCGACATAAAGCTGACATTCTCAGAATCCAATGTCATTTAAGTCAAGATAAATCGTCAGAATGGTCACGTTCACTTTCATTGAATCAGTTGCTTTCAGTCAGTTGACGTAAATAAATTGCATAAAACTCAGTTTAAAACGTTGATCGGTAATCTTTGTAAAAAAAAAACGTATAAAGTGAATCCTTTGGCTGTAAAAGGATTTAAATATGAATATGTTGTCATTTTCCGTCAATGAACAGATTTCGACTTTTTGATTGTAACCACACACTGATTATATCTTGAAATGGCATCATTATTCTCTTTTCTCTTTTCACTATGTATCTGGTTGCTTATAATCGGATTTGAGGTTTGCTTTTCACGTTAATTGAGATTGAATATAAGCAATGTTGAGAATATGTGTTGGTCGCTGCGCTAAATGAATAATATGGAAAAAGTAAACAGTGGTACATTTGATAGTGGTGAACATCAATGTAAACACACAATAATTACACAACTTGCAACATGTTTATCATGGTGTTATCACACCTAAAAACAAGACAGATTTCACTATCTTCAGCATGGTTTGAACACCTTATTGCTGTTACGAAAGTCCCTATGCAAACAAACGACATAAAACCGCATACACGCAAACCTAATTACTTCATTTTTCTTAGTCGCGTGCATGTGTGTGTGCGCGTGTGCTCTTTACGTCAACATTCATTTAGACATTAGTGTGATTCTCAAATGTCACGCAAATTAGCCGAAATAACTTTTGATTTGATTAATTGTAACCCGAACAATCAATCAAAGATGAGTGATGCCATTGTAGGAGTACATTTGAATTTGCAATGAGATTTGTTGGCTTAAAACGCCTTTTGATGTTTCATTTGATGCCAGCATTGGATGTCACATATTCAACATTTCAATTAAGATGGATTCAACTGTGATTAAATTTCTTATGCAAAGAGAGCAGGTGTGGTAATGAGTTGTACGGTTATATATATAGTACACGTTTAATTAGCCAGAATGTTAAGTCATATTGCGAAAACTTTTGCAAACAAATGCATGCTACATCATTTACATATTCACATTGAAACTTAGAACTCTTCGCGTCTTTGAATAATTTACATTTAAGCTTTATAGTATTGTAATGGAATATTCTAAATTTTTTGTCTTTTCCGAACACGTGCAGTCAGTGATATTTGTTGTAATGAATATTACTTTCGAACAGGAAATTAGTTTCTGACTTGACAGTAAAGTTAAATTATAACAAACTTCAGTTTAGTTGACGTGTGTCTTTTAGAAATTTAAATTCAAATGTACTATACATGCATGAAATTAATGGATAAATTGATGCGAAAAATCGACAAGTTTTCCACGAATTTTAATGTAAAGTCGATAAAATCGATTAATTAAAATGTAGCATCAAAAGATAATAAAGAATTTAATTGATACACCAATCTTGTCAAAGAAAAAATGCAACCCATGGAAACAACTCAATCATCAAAGTGAACCGATATTATTTTGAAGCACGATTTTACTAATTTCTAAAAAGTATTCCCACACATAGTTAGTTATATTCATTATTCAACAAACCATCTAATTGAATATTCTTTGCCGACGAACTTAACGAATTGTAAATTTTCCTCACCGCAAACAATTTTCGTGTGTTTATTTCATTCGACATATCAAAGATATATGCAAAGGAAGTGGTAAATGCTAACAAAATCGTATGTATTCAAAGCATATGCTCAGACGACAATAGCAAGGGCGATTGAATTTCGTGGTTTTGTGACACAACGTATGGGGCAATTTATACTCTTTTACAATCGAAATTCAAAAATACTTTGTTCACACAATTGTTTACTGCGTTTTTAGTGTACCATAAGCACAAACCTATATGCTTGTGTTCATACTCAGTATGTCAGTGACCACGCATTTGATGGCATATGGTATAAGCTTGAGTATACATGTGAGAATACTGAAAATCTCGTACAAAAACTTATGCAAACATTTTGATTATTCATGCTGACTGTGTTTGCTGTGACATGGACTCAAAACAACGAATTGCCATTCTGACCATTTTCAAAAGGAATTGGTTTGTCTGCTTTCAAAAGGAACTGCGGTTCGTCTGCTATATGTGGCTTAATACAATTATGCAATTCGGAAACGTGAGACGAAAATATAAAGTATATACATACCACCAAATATAAATATTTATTGCATAAATTTTACAGAGAGATAGTTTTGTATTCAAATAACATACTGCTATAGTTGTAGCTTCAATTAAATTTTGTCTATCCATTGACGTTTATATCGTTATGCGGTGACCACTGCTGTCGTCGACTACAAACGAAAAATGTTGCGGAGAGAACAGAATTAAACGAGCGGAAAAATGACTTTTTGTTTTGTGAGACTCAAATAACTAAAAACGCTCAGAATAATTGTCTGTGGAAAGCACACACTCACAATTATGAATAAAACAAAGTTTACGGCTGTGGTTTATGCAATAAGAGTCGTTATAATTTTACACTGAATATTTGCAACATGAAAACTAATTTAATTTACTTGAAATGCGGATATCTAATCCAAGCTTTTTATTCTTTTGATTATTTATTTTATTTGAATGAGAAGAATGTATGTTTTTTGTCTGTTGCATTTATCTTCGCCTTGTAATGCAAGTCGATATCTATGGCAAAACAAATGCACAAAATCAGAAACGTCGTATATTCTGAATTCTGAAATGTAAATTACAGCCGAACGAAAGAAAAAAAATGATCAATGCAATTTCATGGAAAAACATTTTCTCCCATTTCATTTTTTATTTCTTTTGAAGCGCATTAAAGTTTGTGTGTCAAATATAATAAATGTGGCAGTCTCGTTTATCACTGCATCGTTCGTTACAACAGTAAAACACCACCATTGTGAATGTGGTGTCTGAAATGCGAGACTAATACGAAATAGCGAAATTTCTGCTTTTTTACTTTATTCTTTTTTTTTAGGCAAATTTTCTTCACTTTTAATGCTTTATTTACGATTTTCTAGCATGTTCAGTGCAAAAGAAAACTTAAATTACTAAAATCATAAATATGTTTCATTCTTCTTCGTTTGGTAAATGACCGGTTTTTATTGCGATGGTGATGAAATGAAGCATAAAATTTATGACAAAACGTTTCGACGCGGTCCTAATGATAAATACATATATATATATATATATATTTTTTTAACGAAACATTTCATTTTGCATCGTTTATTATCCATTTTGTATTGTGTCTGTTGACGCGTAGTTTAAATAGTTTTTATGTGATTTTGTTGAAATGTACAAAAGAAATAGCGAAAAATATGTTTCACTTACTTTCATAATATCCATCGGGGCAAATTTGTAAGCATACTGCCAAATCTACGACATGCAAATGAGCTGGTGCACACGAAATGCACGAATCTTGACCAGCGCCTGCACATGTTTCGCAACTTTCATGACAAGCCCAACAAACTCCGCCCTGATTTGGAAAACTGCGAGGTGGACAACGACTAACGCATGTACTGTAAATATAAGAACAATAAAATAAATACCATGTACAATGAACCGTATGTATGCAACTTACTTGTCAAGACGATATCGTTTGCAGGCAACACATTGTGTTGGTCCACGTCCATAGCATCCTTGTTGATCGCATTCGGGATCACAATCGTGCAAGACAATTTTATTATTTGAATCGGCCATGACATTTTCACGTTGTGGAATCGGAATATTGTGACCATCAAGTGTGGTGATTGCCTGTTCTGGATTACTTGCCGCTGGACTAAATACACCCGGATAATATGTGTACAGATCTGGATTGTAATTGTAGTTGATTGGTTGAATGGGTGGCGTAAATTCGGATTCCGTTGGGCTTGGATGTGCATAACGACTTTGTTCGCTTCGCATTCGAATTGGATTTGTTTGGGTGCCATAGAAGATCAATTGCCATTTTGATAAAATGCCCGGCTGATTAACACGTCGTCGGCCACCGTTTATAATTTGCAATCGCCAACGTCCTTCAGCCTTTTCACCCCAGAAATGTACACTCAAAAATGGCCAATCGTCGAAATTACTCTTGACAACGTCACGAGGTCGTTCAAATAATAGTGTGCTAATCGTGCCCATTGGTGATGTCAACAGTATCCGTAAATTACCGCGAGGAAAGAAACGTAGAGTTATTTTGCATTGAACATGCTCCAAATATTGAACTTCGTTCAGTGTACCAGCACAACCGTTAACATCCATATGCGTTTCCAATGTATAACCAACGGAACCATCAATTCGACGATCCTCATTTATTTCCCGAGCTATTCACCATTTGAAATGCCATACAAAATGCAAGTGTCATTAGATTTATGTTTCGTGTTTGGCGTTCGAAAGGAATTTCGGGTGCTGTGTTTGGTGTTATGTATGTAGATATATGTGCGTGCGCGCGCATCCAATTCAGTAAATTTATTTTTCAATACGTTTCCTTTCGCACGCCAGAAAACGCCATAAATTGGCACATTTGTCAAGCTTTAACTAATGTTACACTGAGAATCATTTTCTGGGGAAAATTTCAGTTTAAAGAATGACTGTGAAGTTATAACAGTTTTTTGTACCATTTTTATATGACCTGCTCCACTCGCATTTATTCTACATTTATGAACAGCTTTTATTGGGCTGAAGCTTTGAATGTTAATTAGATACGAGTGGAGAAATGGTATAAAGCGTTGAGTTATTCTTTGAAATTTGTTTGAATTTCATTCAAAGTTTTTGAAAAATTGCAACTTTTACAATAAAAAAACAAAAACAATTTTAAAATTTGTCCAAATTTAGTTGAAATTCATTAATTTTCAAATTTGTATTGAATTTTCGACAGCGAAATTCTTGTCAGTGTATTTATATCAATTTGATCGAATAATTTTCAATTTCTTTGTTCAAACGACACTCTTATACTTACATTTGCAAATGTGTTGTGATGGAACCGGAATCCAATCTTCTGCATAGTTGACCATTTTACCAGCGTCCATTAGACCGTAGCCAAATTTATGGCTTACTTTTCGTTGTACACCATTGACAATCCAACCGCTTTCCTTTTCCAATGGTTCTGCTTTCGATGTTAATACCACCAAATATTGTAAATCACGCCATGTTAGTGCCGGATTGGCCTGTAATGCTAATGCACATATGCCAGCTGCAAGTGGTGCCGATGCCGATGTTCCAGTGTGCTCAACCGTACAGATTCGATCTGGACGCAATCTTCCATCCATGTCAACCGTAGCAACACTTTTATCATGGCCAGGAGTACCCGAACTGTATGTCGTAGCCAATGTTGATGAGCATTCTTCCAAATACCATGGCTTAAATCTGCATAAAATCGCAATTAAATACATTTAAGAAAAGGGACAACAACTCGTGTTTTTTTTCCTCAACAGACGCATTTACATCATGAAAAAATAAATAAATCAAAAAGCTCGCTCCAGACAATCGCTAAATAAGAGATTATATTCATTGTGGCCAACGAAAGGGTGTGACAAAAAAGGAGTTACGATTTATGTGGCAATCAAAATGAAAATAGGCGAGATGAACCCCATGCTGTGTAAATAAGAACGCATCCAGAAAATTGACGCAATATTTGAATTAGCAACGAATAAAAACCATGACATTAATCGGCTTCTAAGAGCTCGGATTAATATTTATCTTTCGTCTCTCTTCATATACAATTCACCAAAAACATTCTTGAACGCGGTTTTGCGTTCGATGTTCATTCGATAAATGTTTGCGCATTTTCTTCCGCGACCAACACCCCAGCCGCCTGTTGTTCATTCAAAGCCTTCCGAAAAATCGTCTGCCATTGTTTGTTCAGCTTTATGAAAGTGACAAAATGAAAAGGGAATCCTATTATGGGATCGCAATCCAAATGTTGGTTGCTTTTGAAATGAATCGTTTTCTGCTTTATTTGCACTTTCTTATCAAAGTAAACAAAGACGATTTAATCGACTTTTGTTTGTCGACCATCAATGGAATGGAAAAATAGCTAGCGAAATTTCGTCAGAGTAAATCGAACAAAATAATGCAGAACAATACAAGAGACTCAATGATTTATGATAATACTCACCCGCCTTGTGTTGCGCTCGATATCGATAGTGTGAATATTGAGTTGGTGTATCCATCACAATTGCATGAATCTGTGTATCGACCACCATTACCACTCGCCCATACGAAAATTGATCCTTTGCCTTGACGACCGCTTGTTACACCATAGATAAATGCACGCCGTGCCAACGGACCCGGTCCATCAACCGTTGAACCATCATCTTCGGGGCCCCAAGATGCACTTAGATGAATAAAAAGAAAAACAATTTACTCAATAGTTGCTTTTTTAAAAGTTTTAATATAAAGAATATTTCGTTAGTTTCGATTTTCAAAAGTTTGTACCTGTAAATATCGATGTGATGTGGATTCAAACCGAGCGCTTTTGCTTCGACCGCATCATTTACGCTGCCGTCTAACATACGAACGCCTGTTATTAAAGAACGAAAAAACAAACAAAATCATAATCATAAATAAGCACAAGAAGAACATAGAAAAATTGCATATTAAATAGATTTATCTCAATTTGGATGCCGTTTTTGCTATGACGCTACTCTTTTGCTTGCTTACTATTCAGAGTCACAACTATGTATACGCATACACACATTGGGCTAGGCTAAGTCGAGTAAATGTAACAAAAAGGGCAAAAGAATGGTTGTGTGTCGTAAAACCCAACACGACGCCAAAAATTGGGTTCGTGCGAGCAATACGAGGTCAGACTTTATGATAATCATAGAGAATACAGCGAAAGAGACTTCACTTTATGCCATTTTCGTGTTTTTGTGTATGTGTATAAGTGAGTGAGTGTGTGACGTTTCATGCAGTGTATTTTATATATAAATATGTGCGATTTCATAAAGAGAACCGGGAGAATAATAGTCGTCGATGATTAATATCGAGCAAACACAGTCCAAACCAAGATAGAGGAAGAGAGAAAGAGCGATGAAGTAATCTATTATCAACCGGCTAAGCCTATGAAGAGACAAAATGCGAATTCCCCTCATCTGTGCCATCTTGTATTCCATAGTTGAACTCAATTTAGTTACAATGAATTGAATCGAAAAAGAGAAAAAAAACAACAACAGTAACATGGCTACATAGATCTGTTGACCAGTGAGATACGTATAGCAATGGAATGAAAGAATGAAGAAAGCGTATATGTGTATGTATGCATCAGCACGCATAGATGTACAGCTCTGTGTGGCCGTGCTATTGTTGTTGTTTTTTCACTTTTTCATTTCAATGCTACAGAATTAAATTCAGTTTTTGCATCTAATTCACACTAAAATCAGATGGCGCTCATTAGCGAGATTCGCAAAAAAAAGTCTCCAATCTCATACAAATATACACCGGCTGTCTATTATATATATATTTGGAATCAAAAGAGAAAAGTACGCCAAACGCACAAACACCAGAAATAATAAAAATGTATGAGGCACGTTTATTATTTGTTAGTGTTACAGAGGCATGCCATTTATCGTCTTCCTTTCCATTGACGCCCGTGTTGCCTCCTTCTATGCCGCTGCTTCCTCTTGTCGCGTTCAAAGGCTGGGTGTGTGCGTACAGTGCAATTTATCGAACATAACAAAAAGGATCACAAGCCAAATCCAACAAGTCACACTTAATGGCTAGTCACCGCATCGCATCACCCAAAGCATCATTTTAATCGTATTTTCCTCCGTATAATTCCATGTCTTGTTCCCTCGATTTGTTATTATCTCTTTCTATCATTCTTTTTTCGCCTTCATCCCTGTGTCTGTTTCCCCGCTTTTTCACGCACTCACAGCTCTCCTTGTTTAATGAATTTTGTGAGCGTCCGCACTTAATCTTCTAATATACCATTAAAAACACATACCATAAATGTACGCAACAAACATCGAAATCCGCATAAACCATACACCGAATAACTTGAAACAACGCCAACGCATACATTCTCCTTCATAAACATTTAATTTCAAGACGTTGAGTTCTGGAATTTTTTTTTCTGTTTCTTCGATGGCGTTATTAATTTCCCAAAGTGAGCAAAAATCGTAATTTACACATAATTTAACAAAAATAATGCGTAAGTAATTAGAAAATGAGCGGATTTCGTAATATTAAACACCGTACTGCAGTCAGAAAGAAAAAATTTTCCGGAAGAAATGACTGCTTATCACATTTATACATAATTCAGACTGAACAAAAAATGTCCAATTCAATTAGCGTTATGCCGCCTTTCTGGCCCATCTAAAGTTCATTGAATTGAGTTGAATATTTAATATGATGACTTCACAGACGATTTAATGCTTTTTAAATATAAATTTCGAACATGCTAATTGATTCATATTCAATTTGTGTCGAATGAGAATTTTCCGTAAATGGTTCCATTTACTGAGTTGAAAGAAGAAAAAAAATGACGAAAAATTGAACGGGCACTTGTTGTCAAGGAAAAAAAAAACCTTCATCCAATGTTTGTTTTTCCTTTGTTATTTGCTTCGGCACAATTGACTTCCGATTTACTCAATGGATTTCGGATATGTTGGCTTTTGGCCCGAATACCGTTTCTCTTTTTCTTTCTCTTGTCAAATAAAAATTGAATACCGAACTTGTTTGCTTTTCTTATTATTCCCATTTGGCTTTTGGGCATATTTCACTCAAAACTTGCATTTCACATTGATATCGTACACAGTATATCAGCAAAAATTGCCATTTTTTGCACCCGCCAAATCAAAGAAGTATTGATTACATCTGGACATTTTCAATCAAAGAGATTTTTCTTTATGGTGAAGAAAGAAAAAGTATCCTTTTGAAATGAAATTGGAACCAAGAATGAAAAACGCTTTCTGGTACAATTGCAACCATAAAACATTCATTTTGTAGTGATATTGGTGGTGAACAAATATATCAAATTGAATCGCTTGTCATGAAAAAAAAATGTGAATCGAAATCGAGTTGAAAACACAATTATTAAATAAATGAAAAAAAAAAAATTGTTTTGAAGACGACAAAAAAGGCTCAAAGTGAAAATGCAACAGAGCGCAAGTTCGATGAATGTGAGCAGCAGGCAGAACTGTCTCAGTTTATTGTATTTATTTCATGATTTTCAATTTAATTTTTCTTGTTGCTATTTTCTTTATCTTTCTGTGTTCCCTTTTGACGCCACCATATCTTGAGGCACTTCAATGAGTTTGGGCGGAGTTGGTGAGAGTTTGTCGCACGACATTCAATGGTGAAAAGTAAGTGTTTTTCACTCAATTGAAAAGCGAATGCAAACGAATGAAATAAAAGTGCAAAAAGTGTATACCTCAGAAAAAGTGATTCATTGCCAAGGTAAACACAAACAAATTACATTTCGTCTCAATATATTTTCGAAATACAAGGTATACAATTTGATTTTTTTTTTTCGTTTGCTCCATGTGGCATAAAGTATTCAATCAAAATACATGCACACACACACATTGCGCCAAACATAGAAATTCAATTATCATCATTTGAGCAGGCAAAGTCATGAACACGTTTCGGGTGATGACATTTTGTCGTCGCACGTACATTCATCAAGCGTAAGAAAAAAAAGACATCCATCCTCATATACAGTGATTTTCAACCCGATAGAATGAAAGAACAAAACATGTATAGATTGTTGCAAGTTGTTGTTCGTTCGGAATAAAGGAATACAAGAAGAGAGAGAGAGGGGGGGAAAACGCACCGATTATGATGGCGATTATTCTTGACACGTTTTTTCATGCTTTTAACGAAGGAAAAACGCTAAAGTGTACGGTTACACACAATTTAATTTGCAGACTTGCGGCGGCAACGACAATGAAATTATATCGATATGAAAGAAAAATATGGGAAAAAAGAGTAAATAAAATCAAATGCAATGATGTTGAGCATGAACATCAGATTTCAATTAAATTAATTGATTCCGACAATGTGGTTCGTTCAATTTGTGACAATGGTCTATATGTTAGAGGCATTTTCAAATATATTCGATGTGATTCCCATTCCGAATCAATGATCAAACTTGCAATTTCAGGATTTGTCCAACATTAAATACACTCCAAATGGGTTTTAATGTTAATGCATTCCAATTTTGAACATTGCCAATTAATACAATACAAACTTATATATTGAAATCGAGTCGTTGACCCGTTATGTTTTTGTATTCATTGTCGCTTGAATTATTAAGTAGGTAAACAAAACATTTTATGCATACCATTTTACCAGCTTTCGATTTACGAATAATGAGCGAGAATTTTGGAAACTGGAGTCTGTGCGACAACAACGAATAGCATATATATTTGATCAGATTTTAAAGTATACTAAAATGATAGGGAGAGAGAGACATCTGTTGGTCTATTTTTGTTTTTACTTGTGGGAAAACTTCTGAACAATCTATGCTGTTTAATTCCCTTGAAATGAAAATTGTTTACAAATTCGAAATCACTGTTTGCATAGGCACAAGAAAACACCTCAGCATTGAATGAAGAAACCGACTCCCATGCCAGCCACAATACATTCATCCGAAAAATGAATGACTATAATTTGAAAACTTCAGACTAAGCTTCATTAAAGATTGGACGCATTGTTTTGTGCTCGATCGAATAACATAAACAAAGCGCTTTAGAGTTTGTTAAGTTGGAAAATTTAATGACCAAAACACGACCCCACCAATACACATAAATACAGCCAAAATACAATTTCCAATTCAATATACGAAACAAATTTTCATGTGCCAGAATCATCAAATCGATGTTCATTGTTTTGGTTATGCACTGAAAACCATTTTCCATACATGAAATTAAAATCGGCTTTTATGAGCAATGATATTACCGCTGTATCATAAATGTAAACAAAATTTTCAAATAGTTTCCTGTGTCACTTGCAGCAATCATCGATGCATTATGCGTGTACATGTGTATGCGTGTAAATGGGTTTGTGTGATAAAGAAAATCTGTGAAAATCCCAAAGGGGTGGCAAGCGTTATCGTAATGTATTTCTAAAACATTGATATTCAATACACTCTGTTAAATGATATTTGAATGTTATTACGCTAGATAATTTATGAAAGTACGTAAATGGCTCACCTAGTTTTATACAGAAAAAAGAACCAGCCTTTGAATCGAGCCGATAGAATGCAAATTCGCCAGTTTTGTAGCAAAAAAAAAATAATAACAGGCCCATTTACGTCACCAACTAAATGTAACAAGGGTTTAAGATTTCAATTGAAGAGCACTTTTAGCGAATGTGTTTTATAAAAACCAATTTCATTATTGACTCGTTTTCAATCAAGCCGCATACACACATTCAACTCGGAATTGATTCATTCGCATGTTTTTGCGGCTGGGACGTACTTCAAAAATGATTGAGAAATTCTCAATGAATCAATCATTTTTCACAAATGTTGCTCCAGGCCATATGATTCGACGTCATAGTGTGTCTTTTTGGTTCGTTGAAATAACCATTGAATCGAAAAAAAGTCATTCATTTCATCGAATTCATGGGTGAACATGTTGGAACAAGTGAAAGCCACGAGTGCTGAATTGAAAAATCCAACTGTGAAACATTGAATGACTAGCATAATCAAAAAACAATGATAATGATGAAACTCATAGGCGCTTGAAATAGCTTCAGACAATGAAAGCTTTGTACATACACACATATTTTTTTGTCGCTTTAGCTCATGAAACTAAACGACTAAGCAATGAATATTGGAAATTCTGTCTATTGTAAATGCTTAATTAAATCATATATGCTTCGCTGCATCGGCGCTATTTGATTTCAGTCCTTTTTTATTAACGTTTTTCCAAATGGAATCGTAACACATTTGAAATGTTTGAAAATTGAAAATAAATGGACTTCCAATTGAAGGGAAATGCGAAAATTCATTTTTCATAGAAAAATATTGATTGAACAAGGAAACACGTAGATAAACATGAAAGTGACAAAAAAAATGAATTCAGTTCCTGGTAAATTCTATCGAATGAAACAGACGTGAGTACTATGACATTTGAAAATACATTGATTTTTAGATAGGATAGATCCGTAAGATCTCCGCAAGAGTTTGTGTGTCGAACTACTTTGGTTTGCGTGTCGAAACAACATGGTAAAACGAATGCATGTATCATGCGGCGGCGTACGCTTGCCTAGAACCATTTCCAGCGGAGATATTACAGATCTATCCAATCCAAAAATCAATGTATACATTTAAACAGTTCACTTTTTCAAGATTACTTATACAAAAACATATCTGATAAATATATAAATATTTATTTTATGATTGCGACCATGTTACAATTCGACAAATTCAAGGATCTTTTATTTCACTGTCAATGGTTGTCTTTGAATGTCTTTGAATAGGCGCAAAACAAATTGGCTTCTGTTTATTTTCGGATACTTCACGAAACGGTGTCCAACGTGTTTTGCGTCAATAAATCTCAATTATCAGAATTATTGTTGTGAATTTATCATTGTGTATTGCCATAGATTCGGTTTTTGTGTTGTTACGTTTTTTTCTTTCAAACTTCGTATTTGGTGTAGGTGTCCACGTCCGTTGTTTAGCTTGCGTGCATCAGATATTAGAAAAAAAATATTCTTGTCAAGGAGAAGAAAAAAAAAATCATTCAGAAAGTTTGTGGAAGTATTTATTTTGAGGCTTAAATGCTTCTTCCTTATTCCGACCATTTTGAGTACATTTACACGCAAAAATTGTCGAATGGCCGCTATTTTACTTTGACGTAAATTTATGATGGCACTTGCAAAGTAATTGTTTGTTTTAAAATAAAATCAGATTCATTTCCTTTCATTTGTTGACTTGAATATTCTCATGAACGTAATAAATCACTTTCTTCTTTCGTTCGACTACCAATTTTGAAAACCGTATGGATTTTACGATAATGGTTCACTAGCACTCTCAATTATTTTTCATGCTCATTTCAAATGAATTCAATTTGAAATTGTGTGTATGTGTGTGTATTCTTCTCGGTTGGTTGGCCGTTTTAATTATGACTGGCAATGCTCTTGCTGTGATCAAAAAAAGCATCCACTGAAAAAGTAAGGTTTTTTTTGTGCCTGAAAATTCTACGGGCATATTGATTCCTCAAGCGTATGGCATTTGATTAGTGTTTACGCATGTGTGTATGTCGGTATTGTGATTTCTCTGGTGGTGATGACAATATGACAATAAACCATATTTATTGTCCGATTTTTCATTTTCACTAATCCTTCGTTGAAGCAACAAACGTGTGTGCGATGCTCACGGGCTTAACTCCAATGTCATTCTCGGAAGCGTGTCCGATACTTTTTTCTTTCTCCTGTTAACTCTGATCGCCTTTACGGATGCTATTTAATAAATTTTCAGCATCGCAACACAAAATGGACCCAATCATCAAACGGATCCAAATGCAGCTTCCACCATGAGGCAAGTAATGACAAAAATTGAACGACACAGCACATACACACACACTCACATTCAGGAAAAACTGACGAAAATATATGACGCCAATGTGAAAATTCCAAAAAAAATATAGAATGAAAAGATATAGAGCGAAAAAAAATGTTGAATGACGATTACGGCACACAAAAGAAGATTAAATAACGTTAGCGCGCACCAACGAAAATAATGGAGAAAAAATACACAAACCAAACAGCAAACAAAGCTATTTAGAGTGAACAATGGTGTCGACAAAGAACAAATGTTTTTTCTGTCACCCATTTATACACATATATATTCAGAGTATGGATGATATTCGCAAAACGCAGATGGAACTGACCGGGGATAGAGAGGATGTGAGAGAACGAGATAGAAAAACATGGTTCAGATGATACAATATACACACACATCGAACAGATGGGTCATTTTTAAAAATATCGTTATGTGAATGAGAGAGAGAGAGAGAGAGAGAGAGAGAGAGAGGAGAAAAGAAGAAAAAACCGTTCGCCAAGGGAAAAACGCACTGGTGTCCAAACTTTGAAAAACAGATGAAAATTAACAAAATGAATAGGAAAAACACAATGCCATGACAAGATCCAAAAATACCCACGAAAATATGCACATGGAATAAATAAATCTCCTGCTCGTTGTAATAGCAAACAAACTGAGAGGGAAAGAGAGAAAGTGAAAAAAATGAGAATGATTACATAAAACCAAACCAAACAATACGGAATCGGTGATATGATGACAACAATAGCAATCCGATACAATATACGAACGTGAATATTTGGATCAAAGCTACTTTTTGTGGCTACTCCGGGGTTTTAAGCACAACACATAACACAAAAACATATGTATACCATTTTTTTTTTTTGGATTGTGTGCTCGTTCTATTATCATCAGCTTCAAAACAATTCTCGCGTTCTTTTTCAGTATTCAAACGGAAAATAAATTCAATTGATTTTCGGTGTTGCGAAAAATTACATCACAAAGTCAAATGTCAAACATCAATACTTTATATATGAACACAATGCTTTTACCAATCTAATTTGACCTCTTTGTCATCGATGTGAATTTTAAGCTGAAACAAAAGGTAAAATAGCCCGTTCCACTCTCTTTTGTTTAAAGCCATGCAATTTCTAATGGAAAATATATTGACTGTGCATTCGAATGCAAAGTATCACTGACAATTTACCAAATTAAATGCAGAAATGCTCTGTTATTTGAGTTCAGGTAAATGATATTTGTTAAAGATATGTATAGTAAATATCAAATGAAATTTTTCGAAGCGATTCATGCCGAATAACATGTCATGCCGTTTGTAAATGTCGTGAAACTTTTATAAATGGAAAATTGTGAATTTCTCATGTTGAACAGAAGAACGCGTATCAAGAGTATTCAATTATATTAAGCGAACAAATTCCGAACAATGTTTGTTTAATCAAGCTAATAAAAACGTTTGCATAAATATACATACATTCGCTCACGCAAACAATATACGCTCTTATCTCATGCAATGCAATTTTCCAAATGGATTCAAATTTGCTGCACTGTTTCTTCATCATTTTTCGCATTTCATTTAATTCTATTTGTCATGTTTCCCATTGTTGTTTTCATTTCGTTTCAAAAATTGTCGTTTTTTTACTATTCGGTGTGTACGCGATTTAGAAATGCCATTGGGACCAGAACTATGGGTAAATTGGACGGGGAGAGACTCGATTTTCAGCTTAACTCATTCATTCGCTGAACTGTTGCTAGAGTCTAGCAGCTAGACTGTAGATTGTGTACAAAACTCACCTCCAATGCTGGCATTGTAAGCTACACCTACACCACAGAAGCTGTTAAAAGCCACGGCAGCTACTTCGCCAGCACATCGTGTTCCATGTTTATTATCACCGTTGTCCTGAGGCATTGGATCTGAATCATTGCCGTTGATATCGTACGATGCATCCGGATCCTGAAACGAGACCAAAGACAAATAAAAACACATTAGAAACGAGAGATGGCATTCGCTTCCTTTTTTTATCCTATTCAACCATGAATAGTGCTAGTGTTCAACAAATAAATAACAAACCGAGATAGATAGACGCGAGAAAAAAAATGAACACTTAACGAAGAAAAAAAATGAGAAAAAGAAACGAGATGAAAATTGCACATTGAAACAGTTAACAGTAAGGGTGTTTCAAAGCTGGATGTTTAAAAATAGATTGCTGCGGTGCACACATTTGCAGCGGTGACTTTTAACAAATTTGCCTTTTGAACAAACGTGTTTACGGAGCTGATTGCACTCAATTCTTCGCCTTCGTTTGCTTATTTTATTGTCAACATTGTCGTCGCTGTCGTCTTCGTTCAAATCTAAATATTGTTGCTCGGCGGCGATATTTAAAATTTATAAAAAAAACGAAAGCCGTAAAATTTTCGTACGTAAAAAAAGCATGCACACATACGACCGGATAACATTCTATTTTTAGTCTTGAACATATCATTATAGCGTTTGGTTTTTCGTTTCTGCAAAATTATTTCTTGAAATAGAAACTTTGGCATAGAGGATATGGTTCTAACTCGGTATTATGCGATAATAAAAAGACTATGGTGATGATGTAATAATGCACTGCTGGCTTCAGGACGCCCTCTAACGAATTTTCCTTCTGAGTTTTCACATTATTTTTATGTGTCGGGCTGAATAACAACGAAATATGGTGAATATTAACAACGTAGTCTGCAGTAGCGCCATTTCTTTTTTTGGCAATAGAACGTTTTAGTACTGTATGCAAATTTTATGCGGCGTTCATGCACATTACCGTCACTTTGCAATTTCACTGTAAAACTAACAATAATTTTTTTTTCCTTTGGAAATATATTTGTAAACTATGATCAGGCAACGTCATTAAAGTGAACAGGACATTTGTTATTTCAGTTATCGTTGGCACGCTTTAGTTTTTCGACGCGTTAACGAGACGTTTGTAAGTGAGCGAGCAAAAGATAGAAAGAGAGAGGAAGATGGGAAACAAAAATAAACAAAGGAGAGATGGAAATGGGAAACACGTTCGAAAATCTCCTTATTATTAGAATGCCTGCTCTGTATGATGGAGCTTTATGCTCTTTGTGTATTTATGTACTTATACAGTACTTTTAAACAACTCGACACTCGAAATATCTCGTTGCGCTGCTTTTTTATGCTTGGGCGTGTGCACTTCAAGCAGCTGCTCGTTTTATAAAATTTTGTTTTCTTTTTCGTTACACCAATGGCTTTTGCCACTGGCAGTCGCGTTTTCACTACTGTAACGTCATCTCCGGCTTGGCAAAAAGAAATAAAGCATTTTTGTATGTCCACGACGATAATAAAACACACTCACATACTAAGCACAAACAATGTCACGCAAACGGCACACACGGTGCTGATCGAATCGAATGGAACTGAGCGGAAATGAACAACACGGTCTAGCTAAAACAAGTCCATGTTATAATTATAACAATAACAAATATTATACGCCTAATCATAGCAATAATAATACGAAGAAAAACTATCTGGAAAATTATTATGTTGGAAATTAAGGCTGAGACTAAAATGGGATAAACAAGGCGTTCGGCTGAGTTGTGCAAATCCAGACACATGGTGAGTAGGCACCGAATAAAGGTTGCATTTTGCAAACGCATGCGGGTATTCTTATTTTTCGGTCATAAAACTTCAAACATGCAATAAAAATAACGTTGACCTTATGTCGAGGTGGCTGCTGTTTGCATTTTTAAAATAAAACATTTACCTTGAGTACCTATTAGAAAATCGTTTTTTTACGATTCAAAATTGACGGTAATACTCTGTTCAGACGAATGCAAATGCCATTTAATGACTCACGATTTGAACTCCATACATTTTTATCAGTGCAATGCTGATAAACATGAACAAATAAAAAGATTGTGACTATATACCATTTGCATCAGAATCAAATAGATTAAACGACTTTATTGATGCTTGAATTTTCCCCCATTGCTTCATACTGTGATTATAAAAACGGTTCACTTTGCAACAGTGATACCATCACACATTCACGCTCATACTTCTGTCATCAAGGTATATTATATAAGTTGAATTGTTCATGCTGCTGCGAACGAATGCCATTGAATTCATCACACGATATCATTGTGTCAACGCATATAAATCTTTGACAACACTGGGATGTATCATTTGTTACTTTGATCACGCAGCATTCATTTAATTTATGATTCTAACTTTTTCGGTGCGGGAAATTTCATTTATTTTTATATACAATATCAGCATTTTCGTTTGCATCAACGAATGTTAAGTACCAAAACCTCGTGAAATCATCACACCTGTGTGATGAATGACAAATAATTTATTAAAATCAACTTTGAGCACGATTTTTTCTCATCTCAGTTCGAATTTTGATGTTCATCGCGATGATGAGAATGATCTGTGTGTTTTTTTTTATTTCGCTGTTGCGAACGAATGGTAAATGTAAGTATAAGTACAGTAGATTGCCAAATGTCGACACACGACCAAATGTCGGAATACCGAGAGGTGAATTGAAATTAAAAATTGAAAATTCATTTGAATTGCATTTTTAAAAGTAAATTATGAAAGATCAATATCAAATCTCTTTATTATAATCCAAATTTTAATCAAAAATCTATTATTGCTTTCACAAATTACGTTCAAAAAAAATTCGGCATTTTTATCACTTTTTCACGTCAAAAATTAAACTATGTCATTTCGAGACAAACCGGTAAAATGCGTTTTTTTATATGAAAAAATAACTAGTTTGGAAAAAAAATTATATCGGCGAATTGTAGATAGTTTAATTTAATTATTGAACAGAAATTTTGAAAATATAAAGAAAAACAATTATATTTATTTTTCATTTTTCACTGTAATATTATTCCGGAATAAATCGTCCAATTGCCGACACATAAAGCACCGAAGTTTCAAGTGAAACACTTTGGATTTGACAGATGTGACAGTTAAAGTCGTATTTGGATCATTGTGAAATTCAAACCAAAAATATTCTAGATCAGTGAAATAACGTAATATTTTTAAATATTTTTGCCACTTTACTATAGAAAAATAAGTAAAATAAAATATGGAGCAAAAATATATCAATCTAATAATTTTAACTCCAATATTTTGTATTGTTTACCTCAATGTAAATAGTGCGTTCATGGGCTGTCAAAACTTAAAGTTTACAAGTTTCGTAGTGAAAATGCATGAAATATGTCGAGATTAGGGAGCCGAGAATTGGACGACGAATATCCGACATTTGGAATTTTCGATGTTATGACGAAAAAATGGAAAAAAATAATACATTTTTGGAAATTACTATCTTTTGAGAAACGTGAAATGAAGCACAATTAAATTCTGCATCGAATTGTGTATAAAGTGATATTTTTTCATGAAATCAAAAATGTTAAATATTAAATTGAAGTTGAAAATTCAAACAAATAGTCCGACATTTGGGCGAGTGTCCATATTCCGAAATAAATGATTGAATTTGGTATCATGGGTTTACATTTGTTTATATTACATGCAAGTTTAAAGAGAAAATCAAGAAGACTAATCCCCAACACAAGCATTGCACTTCAATTTTATCACGAAATATGTATTTATAGCTTTTTTCGAATCTGTTCGATGGCTCCATCTCAAGAAGTCAGTCCATTTTATAAGGATTATGTCGAAAATTCCAATCGAAATTCTTGTCAAACTTGATAATTAAAAAAAGCTCGTGCAAATTTAGCATAATTCTCTCGTTTCGAATATACTTTATTTGTTTCGTAATAATTCTATTAAATATAAGCTTAAGTATACTTTACAACATCTTTTACGAAATGGTAATATAATTCAGTTTGTTCAGGTGAATGTTATCGACAATGGAGACTGCACCATTATGCTTAAAAGTTGTTTCCTTTTGTTGGCTGGTCCAAGTAAGAGAAAAGCGCGTGCAATAAATTGCTACAAATGAATTATTTCCTTTTGGTAAAGTGAAGTGAAAATAAAACTCCGAAAAACTGGTTTTGATAATCGCTTTTAACATTGTTCTACACAAGAACAAAAAATGCGTACTTCAAATTCACCGATTCTTCTAGTTATTTTATATCGTGTCGGCGGTTTAATTCTTTTCGGCAAAAACGAAATTCCCTTTCATCCATCTTACATTGTCATATGCGATCAAAACTTCTATGAAATAAACTTTGTGTAAGTATGTGTGTTTTTTTAGTCAAAACTTTTGTGGTTGTTTTTTCATTGAAATTGAAAAACTTTTCGAACATCAAAGAAATGTATAGCTTGTAATCGTACACACGCAAATTGCATGCCATTAAAAAAAGAGCCCCCCGTCATAAACAATTCAATTTTCATAACGCAAACGATTTTAACCACATGAAAAAGAAAGAGAAAAACATTGAGACAAGAATTTTATGGTGAAATGCGCGAAAGTCTTCTTTTTTTCTTTAGTCTGTTTGGATTTAATGGGTAGATAAATTAAATTGAAATTTTTTTAATAAAAAATTGCAAACGAAAATACTGGTCGCCTATAAACATCATACATTGAATTTGACAGCGATTATTCAATGCTTCTACGGTAATTTAGTCTGCCATTTAAACATAATTATAAGAAAATTCAATGACTTTATTTATATCGCAAGAATAAACGAATTATTCCGAAGAAAATATTAAATAAAGTTTTAAGTCAAAATTCTTGTTCGATACTTTGGCCAATAACCAAATAACAAAATGTTACCATAAATTTGTCATCTGTACGGAACAAGATTTGTCAATATACAGTCTGATGGAATGCTTTGTGTGACAAGTAGATTTAAGAGACAGACATGGACATAAATGATGCATTGCTGCATATAAATAGCACTAACATTGATCGAATAACTGGAGTCCATAACAAATTTTAAATGTCTTTGTTGACACCGAACAAGCATCAGACTCACAATGTGCGTCAAGTGAATTGCAAAAGCTAAAAAATATATTTTTCTCTAGACAATTACCACTATACACCGAATGATAACAACAAAAAGCGTCAGTCAAGTCGAATACTTTTTTCGCTTTGCAGCATTTTCTGTCTTTCGATTCAACAAGCCTTTTAACTGTATATTTTGTCAGACAAATTGATGTTCTGGTTTAAAGCTAAATTCGCGCGCTTGAGAGAAAATCATGCGGCATGTGTCCAAGGGAAAAAAAGATCGACGCAAAGCTGGAATGAAGATTGAAAGAGTCTCTTTTTTTCATAGCACGACGAAAACATATAACATTTTTTTTCTACTCATACGATAGAAAATGAAAAGCGCACAGTTCAGCAAACGCACATATCAGACTTGCCAACTGAAATGCTGACAACGATATGTGAGCATAACAAAAAGCAAACCAAAAAAAATTGGATGTGAATCTAAAAGAAGAAAAATGAAATGAAATATACAAAAGCAAACTAAATTATCATCATGAATATATAAAATTGTAATTTCTTGTCAGTTTGGTTGGCACGTATAATTTAAAATATTAAATATAAACATTAAAATATGAGAAGCGAAATGGAATGTGCTTTTTTACCAGCAACATAAAATGATAAAGAAAAAATCTCATCATATTTGGCGCGCGGCGGCGAAAATATTGCACATGCTCTCGTTCACATCGTGAGATAAAAAAAAGACGAACCAAATATGATGAAGTCAAAAAATGTATATTATTTTTCTTTCTTCTTTTCTTTTTGTGTTACAAAAGTGGAAAATTCAAAATGTGTTGCCATTTTTTCTATGAAGAAGGGCAAAATTCAACATTTTCTCGTGATCTGTCGCACAATTGTCGACGCAAAATCTTCAAAAATCCTTTGAAATTCATACGGTGGAATTGCGATTTGACGTTGAAATTTACTTGGCAAGGGTGTTTAAAACGTTGCCTGTATTTTCAAGAGTATTTCGTTGTATCTGAAAGGTATTTTGTGGATTTAAACAGATCGATTTCGTATCTCAAGAGTCAAATCAAGGAGAGTGTGTTAAGGAAAAGAATGTACGATTTTGATTATGGCTTCCTTCACATGTCAAATGATGAATGCAAAAATCAAATTTTGATTCCGTATGTAGGCACACGAGGTTTAAAGAAAATCCGCAAAATGTATATGTTCCACTTAAGAATGTGAAATTGTGAAAAACTGTCAAGTGTTAAGTCGCTTTAAGCGAATGCTCTTATCAGTTTATTTCTTTATTTTTCATGCAATTTTTCTTTAAGAACTTTCAATCCCTTCGGTTGGGTGCGAATGCGAATAAAGTCAAAATAAAGATATCAAGCATCTGGTGTCATCATTGACTGTTGAATTGTTTGTATGACAATGACTTTCTCAGTTTTCTCACTTTGCAAGGCTATAGGTGGTGTAATGATGCGTGTAGGACAACAATTTCTTAAATTACACCCCCTCAAAAAAAAAACGACACCAAATACATATGGCCTTCCTGAAAAGAGTAATGTACACTTGAGAAGTATAAACAAATTCCACCGCCAATATGAAAATTTCAAACATTTTTCACATGCATATTTTCAGCCGGCAACAGCAGCATCAAAAGTATGGATCATTTGTTGTGTGCGTACGCGTGAAAAATGATAATATCAAACTTCACTCTATAAATTGACACATTTCATGTGTTGTGCACACACAATGCACTCATAAAACATTTTATTAGATGCGTAAATTTAACTCAGTCTGACTTTATGGCCCTACCCCAGTAATAATCATAATAATAATAATTATATCTAGCGCACAGTAGTACTTTTTATGATACGCGCGGGCGCATCATTGTGCCGTTACAACAACACAATATGTGACAACAATCACTTTATGGGCTCGATTTGACTTGGTATACAACGCATGAATTTATGAGTAGGCAATTTTTCAATGTAAACCATCTTGAAACAATAGAGAAAAAGTTGAATGGCAAGTGTTCAATTCAATGTTTTTGAAAATATATTTGCAATTTTTTTTGAATTGTTATTGTTTTTATTTTTTACAATTCAATAGTAACGATCTATAACTGGAAATGTTTTATACATACATTATTCATAGATGTAATTGGAATCAAATTTCGCCATTTTATTGTTGTTTATTTTAATGAAATTAACTACGTATATACATGAAAAGAATTCAAGATTTTTTTTCGACGTAGTTTGTACTTATCGAATAGATCTATGCTATTCAACATCCATTGATCATTCCCAATTTTTAATCCACTTCAGCAAAAAAAAATTGATGCCAGAACAAGATTATTTTTCATATTTGTTCATCAAGAACTAGAGCATTGCCTAAAAAACGTGCAGTTTTATTCGGTCTCGATGATATTGGGCTGTATTTTAATATGACGGAAACACATGGAGTAATTTTGATTTGTTAGTAAAAAAAATCATTCCATTTTCCATGTTATTTTTCTCTTTCTCTCTATACTGATGCACAATTACCATATTGGAATGAAGACGGAACAAAAAAGCGCCTGCATTGGGAATAAAAACCGAATTAGTTCAGCAAACACATGCTGTGGAGTACAATATTTGAACAAATAAAATGCATATGATGCATGCTCACTGCTCATATTCTATGTGTTCCGGCTTACTCAATCCCGGAATGGCAAATGGATAGTACATTTGTGTGTGAGAGTGAGTGTCGGTAAAGTTTCGCGCCCGTTTCGGACCAAGTGATAACAAAACATTTTTTTAAGAGGATTTGCGTCAAATTCGGTTTTGAAATTCACCAACAACTTCATAAAAAATGTGCCATAATTTTATTTATTTTTGCGTGCGCTCATATAAAATAGCACTGAATATTGGGATAAAGTATAATTTACTGCTTTAAATAAAGACGACGAAAGAATGAGAGAGAGAGAAAAAACAACAGCACCAGTAGTAACAACAAGCACATGCAAATTTTGTTTTTACTATCAGTGAAATGGCAGAGCCAGCACAATTCCCTCTGTTCGTTCGGCGGACTAATATTCATGAAAGTTGTTATTTGAAATGAATATATATATAGATATTCTGTTCGTATCAGCAACAGCTAAAGGCGGAATTATAATGGTAATAAAAGCGACCGAAAATCAGCCAAAGAGACAGACAGACACATTCAGAGAGAATGAGAGAGAACAAGGAAATAACATTAGTACCAAACGCGACCAATGCACATTTTTGCTGCCGATCGAGACTAATAAAATATAATTTGACTATAACTTGAATTCTTATTTAGATATATGTGATGGAATATTGTTTTCGCATATACGTTTTTTTTGTTCATTTTCATATATCTATCTCTTTCGGTCGCTCCATTTGGAATCTACTTTTTTGTACGCGTTGTGCGCGACATATTTATTGAAGTCGGCTTTGAGATCGATATATTCGATGCTGATCAAAACAATTCTGTTTACAGTCTGTGCACCGACCATATGGACGTGCACATAAATAATTTCGCGTCGATGCGGGGCGAATATTGAACCCCATGCCGATGTGAGTGTGTGCAGTTGTCCATTCGATTTCTATGCCAAAGCGCACAAAAAAGGCCATAATAAATAAAAAATGAATTGGGAATTATGTACTTGGTAACGCTACTACAACTTCGCTGTTCACTGCGCGCCTTCAACACGGTCTCTGTCCCGCTCGTTTTCATTTTTATGCGATTTCATTTTATTTTGTACTTACATAGTTTTGAATTAGATCCGGATGATTTGTTTGAATGCCGTCATCGAGAATGGAAACAACAACGCCTTTTCCTGTATACCCTTTTTGCCATGCTGGTGCGACGTTCATATCCAAGCCATCTTTGGCGCCACCATTCTGCAAAAGAAAATGAAAAAAAAGAGAAGCAAAACGACCATGATTATTCGGTGTGCTATGAACCAGGCAAACTTAAGCTAAACTATACACTAGTATTCGCTACAATATAGTATACACTAAGCCATCGTCGATGGGAAATATGGAGTGAGTTGGTTGTCGTGTATCGATATAGCATCTGTTTCATTATGTTTTCGCTGTTACACTAACAAAAAAAATGATTTCTTCATTTGGTCGAACAGCATACACAGCGGAAGGTGCTTTGGAAATCAATTTTTCATTTTCGATAAAAACATATGAGGAAATGGCATATTCAACTTGCCACCTATCGATGAAATAAAGCTGTGCATCTTAACACCACATGTGAATTACTATATTATTTAGTTTATTCGGCATTGGTTGATTTTATTATCATTATTAGTCTTTCAGTTCCCTATATTTGTGCACTCGGTCGTTCTCCTTTTACATACCGTTGCCATTCATCGCACATGCATCGCCCAAATTATGGTCGTTTACTACGGATTCTTCTTTAATATAATCAGTGAGTGATTTGAAGAAAAAAAACTTTGTTCAACAAACGCAATATACTTGATCGTTTTACTGCATAATGATACGATGTGTATTTTAGACAATGTTTCTTATTATCGATATGAGTCTGCAAATATTTTTCGAGGCCTTCGGACCACCCCATATCTGCGCTATGTAGGCAAAGTAAAACACGACACAAATTTATAGCGGAGAGAGAGAGAGAGAGAAACAGTGAGATATAGTGATTGAGAAGGGGAGAGCAAAAGAAATAGAGAGAAAGAAATGTTTCATATAAATTAGCTCGTGACATGGGTTTTACTTTCAGATTCAAAAGCGATATACATTTTTCGGTTTTCTTTTTGCATGCTCCGGTCACATATTGTAACAAAACAAATATGTGCGCGTGTAAAGATACCACGAAATTAAGTGCAAATGAATCGATTTACTTGCGTCGCAACGAACTGAAGACATAAAACCCCCCCGAAAATTACACGTACGATATATTTCTGCGAGACGAATTGATAAGTAATATAAACTGTATTATGTAACTTATAAAATACATACATATTTGAAAGAGCAATAGTCGACATACTAAATGATAATTTATTGATGCGCATAGACAATCCAATTTACAATAAATATCACAATTCATTGTGTTGGAAATGTCTTTGAACAAATCGATGGCAAATATTGGCGTATATATTTTAGACAGAATAAAAACGAGATATGCATTTAGGACGGATGTTAAGAGTGACTTTATCGGAAACTTGAAAAAAATAAATAAATGTTCGAATTGACGTCAACCTCATTTAATGCTTTGGTTTATGTGCCGGTGGTGGAAAGAAACCGAGTGTCAAAATGTTTATCATGTCATGTATTTGAGATAATGTCACGTCAAATGCGTACAACAATTAATTTGAAAGAAAAGCGTCACATCACATCAACACTCTCACTTTTGATTGAACACTCCACAACATTCGATGGAATTTTTTTTTCGAAAAAGGTTGAAATTTAATATGCCAGCGAAAAGCTGTTTGCGTTAGCTTCAAATTCAAAAACAAAATTGATACATTCAAAATATGCGTCATTCTAAAATTGAGTTTGCTTCCACCCGCGTTGTTATGGGGTTTTTTATCATCTAAGCTCATCTTGCATAAAAAATGCACGGGAGAAAATCGCCTGAAAATTATCCGAATGAATGGGCTATATTTCATTAATGTTATCAATTGTCACAATGTCATCGCGAAACATTAATTCAAATTCATTCATTTTTTCCGTCGATTCCGGCGATATTCAAGAGTTTGAATTCGGCTTGAAAATGAGAAAGCAACATTTTTTGCTACGTCAATCAGTTTAAATACTTTTGAAATTTTTCTACCATTTACACAGAAACATGTAAAATTTCGATTGCACGTCATCTAATCCTATCTTCCATTTGTAAAAAGTACGTATTTCGCCTATGTCATTCATATTTTTTGTGAGTCACAATGCTAGAAAAAACATCTACGCATTTATCCCTTTTGTCGGCATATTCTTATCATTGAAGAGAAAGGGAAATGTTTGAAATTTACTCAAATAAAACCGTTTCGAAAAAAAACACATGACTCTTGAAGTTGAACAACTATTTGTCAACTGTCATCCTTTGTAAATCCTGCAATGAGACATCATAAGCCAACATTGATAAGCCATACACAACTCCTGTAATTATATGTTTCATCAGCTATAAAGAATACTTCTTTTCATATTCCGTAAATGCGTGTATGAATTTTCCAAGGAACTTCACAAGAAAATTCGATTTTGTTTAGAAAAAACACGCCTATAAACGTTGCGTACATGAATACGGAGAGATATTGCCTTTACTGAACGCGTACACACTTATTTCAAACCATTGACATAGACAATTGTCATTAACGAATAAAAGTGTAATGGGAAATGAATGAAGGCGAATGCACGTTGATGTCTCACAATATGAAACAAAATCAATTTAACATTGTTGAAATGAGCGTAAAGCTAACATAAAGGTGTTTACGTGCATCGACTTTGATTGATTTGAATAGTTTGTTTCCTCATGGAAAAATACTAAATGACTTGTATTCACTTAAGAATGAATTTATTTGTTTTTGCTGAGCAAACGATGTAAGAAATGCGAATTGGATTCATGTTATACTTAAATAGAAAAATCGATTCAATGTCGTTTTTTTCGATTTACATTTGAATGACCTCAAGTGGTGTCAACAAAATTGATTGAGTTCAGTTGATAGGAAAAAAGAGTAGAGACTATAAAATAGTTTGTGTTTTTTCTCGAAAACCTCGAATGGATAAGCTGGAATCGGCAAACAACCCAATTCAGCAAGAAAAAACGTCAATGACATTAAAATGTAAATTGACATTCAACGTCATGTCTGCTGAGTTTCGTTTTTTTCAAAGACCATTTTTTTTCTCTCTACACTTTTTATCACTGCACGCTAAATTTTCCGCTAGTTTTCTCTTCAATTTATTCTCGACGAAATTGTATTCCTCTTTTATGATTTCCGCATACTTTTTTTTTGCAGATGAGAAAAAAATCGAATCGATCATAACAAGTTGAACCGAGAAAAAAATGAGCAAACTACAAAGAACAGAAAGCCACAGAAAATACACGAACGAATCTCACTATATTTGCACAAGATGAAGTGACACTTCAGTGCACTAAACGAGATCGTTTACTTAACTAATTTCCACTTTGTTGGGTAAGAAGTTTTGACATGCTGTTTTCGATGGAAATGCACATGACCGAGATAAGGATGCCGACTGAGTGAGAGACCGGGTGAATAAGAGAGATAGAAATGAAAATATTGCTCTTGTGCAATTGACATGCCGACAACAAACTTACTCACTGACTGTTATTACATATTCCATTGTGATGCGTCATAGATAAGCTTGTACAAAGCGAATGGTTCACAGACGCATACGCACACAATTGCGTCAAAATACGTGCATAACCAGTGTACGGTTTGCATGTGTCGACCGTTGCAAAAGATGAAGTCAAGATAAATTTCAAATTTAAATTAACTAACTTTCGATAAATCAGAAATGGGTGTCTACATTTCATGTATGTGTGTGTGTGTCTAAACTAAAAGGCGAGAGCATACTAATACAGTAGATTATTATCAAAACTTCAAGTTGGGAATTTGTGAAATATTGCCCAAGGACATGGATTTGAATTTCACATTGTCTTTGGCTATGGATTTACAGAAGAATAAACTTCTTCCCGCTTCAAGCATTACATGCATTAATTTGCATCTATCAATTCATTCTTCCATTTCGCAGTAAATTTTCGTTTACGTCGAGCATATTCATGCACATATTTTTGAATTATTACAGAAGATCTCAATTAAATGCTGGCAATTTCAAAATGAAAACGCATTTTCATTTCGCTAGTTTTGCAAAATCACCCATTGTATTATTGTAGAAGTTGTCGAAAATCTCTTCTTCCTTAATTTCGAACATTTGGAATCCGATGTTTCTAGAATCTTATGCACAAACCAAGAAATAACCACTGCTATCTTTGGTTTTTGCATCAAAATCAATCTTTTTGATGCAGCTTTTCTTAATTATTATTATACACTAAAACCGAATGTTGAATTGTGAGCTCGAAGTTACCGCTGTTTTTGATTTCAAACCGCAATGTTATTCAAGTGGTTGATCTCGTTTTGAACACAGGAACACAGAAACAAATTCATCCACAACCAGATGTGTACATAGTACATAGTGTGGTGTAGAAAATTAAAATACACATTCTCTGAATCATGCAGAAATTCAAAGGAAAACTACATTTATCAGAATGTGTGAATGCCATAAAATAATTAGTAGAGCAATGCACGGTTTTCCATTGTGGGATTTATATTTCACTATGCAAATAAATGAAAGGATGCATGATCTGAAAGTGATTTGTGGTCATCACTTTATTTGGATCATAAATGTTTTCATTCATCCGAAAGCTCGTTAAAGAACGAATGGCTCGTTATCACTGCACTTGATCATATAATAATGCATCGAATTTTCTGTTTATCTATTGTTCACATCAGTTCCATTGATAGCCATATACAACTATGAATGTATCGAATTTTGCTTGGATTGCATTTTTTTAAGAATACTGTCGAAGATTGATTTCCCTATGGTAACAATATTTGTACAACCGATACGTTTTATTTAACCTCGACTTTATTTGATTTGTACCCTTTAAACTCTCTCGCTCTATCTGTCAATATCCGATGAAAAATTGATAGAAATTTTGAACGGAAGAAAAATCACTATGAAATAAATCAATCTTATCCTCTCTGTGTCTCCCACTGCTAACCATTTGGTCAATAGTCTAATACATATTTGACGTTGTTTTTGCTCTGAAATCAATACTTCAACTTTGTCGATAATAGTGAATGTTCTGGCACGAAAAATGAAACAAACGGAATGGAATGAAACTCCAAGGTGATTCT